CGACACTCCGCACGCAGCCATCGAGCGAGCCACGGCCGCCCGCTTTGCCATCATTAAGCGTGAAAACAGAGGCTGTGATTAAGAGGGGACTTCCCCGGTAGATGATGCCCTTTCCTGCGGGCCGCTGAGGAGCAGCGCCGACCCCTCGCTCCTTTCACTACTTTGTTGTTGTCTTTGTGCGGCTGATGCGAACATGATGGACGGTTCTCTCTGCCGCCCAGCGGGTATCCTCGGCGCGCCCACGGCCACCGGGAGTCAGCCCGCGGGCTCAGACATGATCACCTCCGGCGGCAGCACCAAGCCTCTCGCTTTCTCCATCGACCGCATTATGGCCAGGACACCCGAACCCAAGTCGATACCGCTCAGCACCTGGTTCCAGACCTCTCCCGTGGGGAAGCCCGACGTGTGTCCGTCCTCACTACACTGCATGATCCCGCTGGTACCTCTCGGGTATGAGGGGGGACACCGACTCAGCATAAGCGGGCTGGACCAGGGGCACTTGGACGGCTCTCACCTGCCAGCTCCGGTAGACATTTTGGGATTCGGGTTGAATTACCGAACCCAGCAAGAGGACTCCGTTGTGAGCCACACCGGCGGTCAGTACAAACTTTTCAGACCGCGGGTTGTGAATCAGTCCTCCCTCTCCACCGTGGGCACCATGTGCTACCTGAACTGCACTGGCGATGGAGGGGCCTGCGTCCCGCCGGCCGGCCTGGTCAACCTGCACCCGATGGCCTCGTACCTCCTCACCGCCCGACACAAAGCCCTCATCGCGGAAAAGAGCAAACAGCAGGGCGGAGAGCGATGCTCGGTGTCCGGGGTGCAGGCCTTCAAGCAGCTTTCTCCTAGCCAGATCCAGCATTACATGAAGGAAAGGGATCAAATGCTCACGGACAAGATGTTTAAAGGCTCCTCGGCAGCAGCGGCAGCGGCTCGACTGAACAGTTCGTGTTCCGGCAGCAAACCCAAAGTGTTCACCTGCGAGGTCTGCGGAAAGGTGAGCCGGAGCCGGGGCGACTTCCAACAGCCTGCGGGAGCCAGACTGCCGTGGGCTTTTATCGCCGTTTTAAGATTTTTTAAAGATTATTTCTGTCTAAATAGCCTATTACAAAAGTTTTATTGTCATGACAGGTTTACCAAAAACAAACCAGTCCAGCGCTGCTCTGCTCGGCCTTTACTTTTCAACATGTAAATTTCTACACACTCAAAAGAAAAGGAAATTTAATAAACAAAAGAAAATTAAATTTGTAAATAAATAAACGAATTAATAAAATGGACCCTAATTTATTGCTTGCTTTTCACCCTTGTTTTTTTTTTCGTTTTAGTTTTCTTCCGTTGAATTGACAATTTATGTCTGCTGCTCGAACGGGAAAGAGAGGCCCAATAGATAAGAAACGCCAAAATTATTATTATTTCTAGGTATGTTTTGCTGTTTTAATAATTCAACAATTGCAGATTTTACCGTTAAAACAAAATAACCCGAATGATTCCAGGATTCGCTGCGCCATTTTATCACCTGATTGGAGCCCAAAACAAAATCCGGTTAAACAGACTCCTGGATGCCATTGAAGTGGATGTGATCGTTCAAAATCAAGGGAGATAATAATTTCTTTTTTTCTTTTTTTTTTGGGTGGGTGGGTGGGGGTTGGTTTGTTTTATTTCTTTAAAAAAAGAATATTAACAATACAAAAAACAATATAATAATAATAATAATAATAATAATAATAATAATAATAATAATAGAACAGTAGGTGTAGTCTGGTCTTAGTCTTCGTTTGTCTTCTAATATCTGTTCGTTTTTCCTCTCTCAGGTGTTTAACGCGCACTACAATCTGACCCGGCACATGCCCGTGCACACTGGCGCGCGACCGTTCATCTGTAAAGTTTGCGGGAAAGGGTTCCGTCAGGCCAGCACGCTGTGCCGACACAAGATCATCCACACTCAGGTGAGACCGAGGAGTTCTGCTTGGCGGGGTACATGTGGTGCATCTGCGACTTTTGCTTTCATGTTTCATGTTTTAATTTTGCAAAATGCATTGAGTCACAACTATTAAGCCTGATTATTGATTGATTGATTTGTCCTTTTAGAAAATGATTTACTGGCCTATATTACTATTTTAATTAGAAACGCAAATCACAGTTCGTTCTAAAATGATTGAATAACAGTCGACCAATGATCAACTTTAAAACTGTTTTATTTATTTTACGATAACATTTATCTCCGTCCAGATTGAGCCAGGAAAGATTTTTCCGCACTACATATTATTTCAAAGTTTTAAAAATCAGGGCGGGAAGGGGGTTGCGGTTGGGGGGCAGTATGGTTCAAAAAATCAGCATAAAGTGAAATTTAATTTCCCAGACAATCCCCCCGGTCAGCTGACCTGCGACTTGTGTTTTCTAATTTGACTGTTAATGAAATTGCTGCTGAACAGTTAGTGCTATGGTGTAGTTTGTTATGTTATTAAAAATAAATAACTTTTAGTGAGTGAAATTAAAAGAGCATGTGTTTTAGTTAGACTTTAAAATTACTCAGGTTAAAATAACAGTAATTTTCTGGCAACCATTGTCCCACAGATTACATGTGTTTTCTCATTATTACATTTCCATTTGAATTTTACACTGAAACTAATGCATCATTTGCTAGATTACATTGGCAGGCTTCTACAAAACTCAACAGTAAAAAAAAATAAATGAAAGTTATCTTTCGGCTAACATTCTCTAAAACCTTCAAATTAGAATATTAACAGATATATTTTCATAATTTTGCTCTATATTTCCAGAACAAAACAATTGTAATGCATACTGATGTTTTGCAATTTATATGAAAATATGAAAGATGACAGAATGTTCAGGAATAAATTGGCTGGTTTTTTAGGTAGAATGTGTGAAAATAGAACTATAGTGTAATAATAGCCCATGACATTCATTTAATCTTAATTAAATCAGATTAAATGTAGTAAAAAAGCATATATTTCCATTTGAGAATACAAATATGGATAAACATTCTATAGACAGGAACTACTTAGTATGCATTTATTTTCTGTATAGATGCATAGCTTTGTGAGTTTGTTTTGGAGCATGGCAATAACTGGCTTATGAAAAAAAAGCATTTCACCTGATTTTATTTGAATTTGCCTGAAATAGGGCATTCAGTAAATAAACAGTCTCAAATAGATCATTGGAACACTGAACATCCATTGAGATTCAGACTCTGCCTCAGGATGTGTGTTTTTAAATAAGAAGGCCAGATGGATCTGTTCTGTAGAGCGTGGCTCATAATTGAGACACACAGAAAATGGAAGAGTGTTGAAAAAAAAGTCTGTTTAAAAATAGAAAAATTCACTCGTGCTACTCATAGAATTATTGACAAGCCAGTATCAGTTTCATTAGACCAGTGGATCAACTAAAAGATAACTTATTACTGAGACAAGCTGTAAAATGAAAAAATTAAAATTATTTGATGTTCCAATCATACTTACTTATTTTAGCTTCGATATTCTGGAGTAGAGTGTAAATTGCTGTGATTGCTGACTATTATCAATTTTCCAGCTCTTTATGTTTGTTTCAGTGAGGTACAGTTCTTTAGCTGGTGGTCTGGTAACAAATGAAGGAGGTCAAGGACTTGGCTAAAAGAGTAAAACATTTGCTGTGGTCCTCTTTTTTGAGTCTATTAAAAAAGACGTTACAATTATTAATGCAGAAATGATCAAGATGACAAACAAGCCATTCTGAAAATGTAGACACAATATTTTTTGCCAAAATAAAATACTTTCATATCAAATTTAACATAACTAAAATCACACAAATCTAATCTTTACCTACAAAGCAACCATACATCACTACAGTTATCCGAGAATGTACTGGGCGTATTTTAAAGATAGTTTATCCCCAGTAACACGATTAAATAAAATATATCTCACATTTTTTTTATAGGAAAAACCTCACAAGTGTAACCAGTGTGGGAAAGCCTTCAACCGGAGCTCCACACTCAACACTCACACACGGATCCATGCGGGATACAAACCGTTTGTGTGCGAGTTCTGTGGGAAAGGATTCCACCAGAAAGGTGAGACAAAACAACACAAAGGGAATCCTCTGGACTGAAGCTCTTCCTCTGACACTTTTCGTTTGATGCTCTGTATTTTAGATGGAAATATCTGGTCAAAGGAGTAAAAGAGTTTGTCATACTTTAAACCAAATTAATTGACTTCTTGTGGAGTGAGCTTCTTCTCAGTGGCTCTCCTGGAGAGCAGCAGAAGTCTGTGGGCTTTGCTCTGAGTGCAGACATTACACAGAAAGTCACCTAATGACTTTCCTCAGAAGTAGGCTGAATGCCAGTTCACAGCAGCTGTCAGGAACGTACAGCAAACACACATTGTGGAAGATAGAAAAATATCCATGCATAAACCGGAATCCTTTTTAGATGACTAAAGCCAATTACTTTTAGAATACTGAATCAACATTATTAATGTTGTCCTTAGAGCACTAAAAGAAGCGTTCAGTGATGTACACCTGAGGAAACACCAGGATAAAGCCAGCGTTTTAATATTGTCGTATGTATTGGTAAAGGTCACGGCCATGCTTGAAGAGGATGTCTTGTGTATGAAGGCAAATGATTGACATTTATTGATTACAACAAACACAATGAACATGTTGGAAACATAGATGGATCAAAACCTGATAAAGATTAATTGACTGCATATATATATATACTGCATATATATATATATATATATATAATTTTTGAATAATTTTTGCTAAAGATTTTTTGCTGTTGTGCTACACAGCTGCAGGATCAAGCTTAACCAGGTGTTCTGTGTTGAGTATGAATTTCTTTTGAAATCACATTCAGACATTGTATGTCTGAATGCAAACTGCTACTGCCTCCTCACATTCAAAGCAACATATTGCATAGAACATTCTCTGAAACACAACGAAAGTAAAGACTTTGCCGACTTAAAGATTGTTTCTATTCTTGCTCAAATGTTTTAGATCATCAAAAAAATTATATGAAGGAAAAACTGAATAAGCAGTTTTCAACTTATGATTTTACTTAATAAGGAAAAAATCAGTCCAAACCAACATGATCCAATGTGACAACTTCCCTGTTAAAATTTGAAAGAACTTTAATAAAGAAATTCTTTTGCTTACAGTTTACCAGCCACATCCAGATCTGAAGGCCTGCCAAATCTCTAAAAACCAAAAACCATAATATAGAATTTGTCAAACAGCATTTAGTTGACTACAAACCTGAGAAAGCATCAACACATTATATCCTGATCTAAAGAAATGAAACAGAGGAGAAACATCACATCACCCACCTGGTTGATCAGAAGGGCTGAAGGTGCAAATTTTGCAGCTTTGCATCTGTCCGACTGCCCATAGATACAGTCCAGTACCTTGCTATCATCTTTGTCTACTGTTCAATTGAAACCCTTTGAGATTTCAATTGAAGCTATAAAGAGCTTTAAAAATAAAATGGATTATTATTATTAAGGCGGAAGAGTGGAGAACTTTATGATGGGGTCGATCTCCTAGGATTATTTAAACTGCTCAATAACAACATATTCATGAACCTTTTCAGACATCAAAAACCTCAAGCCTCACTTGAAACAGCTATGGTCACAGCACATTTTCAACAATAAGCCAAAATGGTGACCCAAAAGACTACAAAACCCTGTTTCAGGTTTGACGAAAACATCTTGATGGTCAAGAAAGTATTTAGGCAAAATGTTCTTTGGATTACCGGTTAAACCAACGACAGCAGAGACTGGCACAGCCTGTAACTGGGCTTAGAGGCAGATCCTTTTCATCATCATCATTATCATCGTCGTCATCGTCATCGTTGTCATCGTCATCGCTGTCATCGCTGTCATCGCTGTCATCATCATCATCATCATCATCATCATCATCATCATCATCATCATCGTCGTTGTCGTCATTGTTCTCATCTTCCTCATCATCGTTGTCTAACACTAGCTGCAGCTGAAACAAAATGAAGGAACATTTTGTATAAAGGAAGCATAAAAACAAACAAACAGACAAACAAAAAAAACACAGACAGACAAGAGCAATACCAATAAAATGTTGGGTAAAATCAGGTTTCAGTTGGGTTGAAGACCAATGAGTTTTAAAAATGGGAGGTGATATGTAATGGTTGGACATGTAATGGTAGCATTCCAAAGCTTAGGGGCAGAGACAGAGATGACACTGACTCTGCCCTTCTCAGTTGGAGTAGAGAAGGGCAATCTGTCAGGAGCTGCTGGTTAGCAGACTTGAGTGACCAAGATTGTAGTGGTGGAGAAGAGCCACGTCTGATTTTTATCTTGAAAACTGCTCTCTGTGTTTACTGAGGTTATTTTTGTCTGCTGTTTAAACTTGTTTTATTGATCAAAAATGCAAAAACAGACAAAATCCACGATTTATTTTAAATCTGGATTTAAAATAAATCATAATTGAGACACACAGACCAAAAAGTGTGAAAAGCTCAGCAGATGTGAGGTTTTCTGGATGTCTGTCTGGAGGAGTGGGGGCTTGGCTGGCCACGACAGCTCTCGGGAGGAGCTTTGAGTAAATAGACAGGGCTTTGTGAGAGCAACCGCATAGGCACCTCTGAATGGTTGCTAGGGACATTCAAGGGTTCATGCATGAAAAAATGCATGCACGCTTTTATTTTATAGAAAATCCCTTGAAATGATTTTTATGTATCAATTTGGTCATTTTATGTTGGATCGAATAAATTTTGTGAGCAATGTTAAAAAGTTGCTTGTTCTCTGCAGGAAACTACAAGAACCACAAGCTGACACACAGCGGGGAGAAGCAGTTCAAGTGCTCTATCTGCAGCAAGGCGTTCCACCAGGTGTACAACCTCACCTTCCATATGCACACTCACAATGACAAGAAGCCATTCACCTGCCCCACCTGTGGCAAAGGCTTCTGCAGGAACTTTGACCTGAAGAAACACATCAGAAAGCTGCATGACCCGGCTGGGGCACCCTCGCCCCTGCAAACCTGAAATCCTTCTAAGCTATGACAAACTGAATCCAGCTCAAGAGCTGTTGAGGACAGATTCAGAAATGAGAAGCCTGTGTTAAGGTCTCTGCACTTTCTCTGCTCCAGTCCTTGTTAATTAGCACTGACTCTGAAATGCTCTGAAAACTAAAGTATTGTAGTGGTTTTGTTTCCTTGTTTTATGCTGCATATGCTGCCCTCTGCTGTTTAAATTGGCAGTTTGAACCTGTAGTGACTCAATTCTTTCAGTCCAGCAGTTTTACCTTCAGCACAGTCATGGAGCCGTCCAAAGAATTGACTTTTATTCTTTACATGGCAAAGCGTGCATGAACTTGTTCCACAGATCATATTTTACCTCAATATTGTTCTTTTGTTCCCTCAAAATAAAAAATAAAAATTTAGTATCATTGATTCAGGCCTCCCTAAATCAGTATTTGCTGTATTGATAATTCCTACTGGATAATGTTTCATCTCATCAAAGCTAAGATAGTAAAGCCTGCTTCAACAGCACTTCAAAGTCTTCTTTGTTTTATTACTTTTACAATTCCCTGACTCAGTGACCTCACCATGGGACGATCTGGCTTCAGTTTGCGACCCCCTGGTTCCCTCCCTTCCGCTGCCCAGTCCTTGACCATTGAAACCAAAAAGACAGTGAGGGGGGTTGTTAACCCCTGAAGGCCCTGCAGTGGCTTCCCAGGCATAATATGGGCTGACAAGGACCTCTGGCCCAGACAGCTCTCTGACCCACTGAACTTAACATTCATGAGGTAATTATTCAGAAACTCAGACATTTGCACAATTAGTCATCAGTATTTATTTGTTTCTTTTAATTTCAATTAAATGACAGGAGATCAGATAATTATGCTAAGATCAGAGATATGCCATAAAGAATGACATGCACAAGAAGTTTGTTCACAAGAACTGTATTCACTATGTCTCTTTACAAACACACAGCCAGTGTACTTTAATGAGATTTTATGAGCTAGACCAACACAGCTGTGGAAAATTGTGACATGGAGAGAACAGCTTACATGATTTTCACAAACAAAATACAGAACCACCTTTTGTCACAATTACAGCTTGGAGAGGGGTGGTATAGGAATAAAGGTGATGTGGATTCTACCAGCTTTGGGTGGCTGGTAGACCTCAGCCATCCAAAGCTGGGCGACCCCAAAGTCGGTAGACTAGCTTGTAGATCCCACAAGCTGATAGATGAGTGGTTTACCCGCTTTGGACCGCTAGTGGCTGAATATTTGCCAATTGTTTTTTTGCCAATCAGCTCATACAACTCAGTCAAATTTTTTAGTTTTGCCACTTCTCAGTTTGATTTAGGTCTGGACTTTGACTGGCCTTTATTCATATTCTTTGATATTGATCTTCTATTGTAGTGGTAAATGAATTGAATTTATACCAACCTTTTCTAATCATATCAACCCCTTAAAGTGTCATACACTACAGTCACAGTTATCCATTTGTAATCCCATTCTTACACTGTATAAAAAGTAACTGTAGAATTTACAGAAACTTCCTGGCAGCAGGGTTTCCAGTAAATTACTGTAATTTTTACAGTGAAGAAATTACAGTAACCTTACCATAATTTTTTACAGTAGCCTTATTCTAATTCTATTAAAGTTTTACTGTGATTTTATTGCAGGGTTGAGGTAAATTTATTGCAGTTTTACTGTAATATTCATTACAATCTAAATGGAATTTGATTAATTTAACTGTAATTTCTTTGAATTAGTATAGTAATTATATAACATGGTTACTGTGATTTCATCACATTTTTATCATAATAAAATTACAGTAGTCCTGTAGTACAATTACAAAAAAGTTGTGATTTTACAGTAGTTCATGAAACTCCATCCTTTGGTAGCTTTTGAAAGTTAAAATGTGAACTTGCAACTTCATTTACCAAACTCTCAAAAAATATATTTTTCTAGTTAAAAAAGAAAATTTTTAAATTGTTTTATTTTATTGTCAATTTAAGTTTGACAAATTGAAGCAAAACAAAACAGTATTTTGCAGAAGCAATATTTGCTTAATACATAGAAGTCAAAGTATTTCAACCAAAGTGAAAAATACTCTTATCTAAAAACATAACTGATACATTGAATACAATTAATTAAATATCCTTTACCAAAACAAAAGTGCCCAAACATCAAAGTTTCCAAGCAAACTCCATGTCAAAGTCATAAAACAGTGTTTTACCAGCTTTTCATGTAAGACTTGCAATCAAAATTCTCAATGTCTGTCATTTTCTTCTTTTGAAGGATCGTGCAATGTCAAATATTGAAGTTACATATTTTTTCAAACTTTATTGGAACCCCAACAGTACATCTTGAACATCTGGGCAAGTTTAAGACTTTGTGAATAGCCAAACAAAACCAACATGGATGGGTTCTGAGTTGGTCTCAGTCCTGAACTTCTCCAGAAATTATCAAAGGGTTGCTGGAAGATAAACAAAGAAAAACATGTTTTAATACATGAGATAAAAAGAACATTATGTCAGTTTATTACATAAACAACATTATGTGTGTGTATGTCAGTTAAAGACAGACAGGATGAAAAGGACAGATTTAGAGGACAGATTCTCTCTGACCTTCCTTCATTGTGGCTGTCTTTCTGTCTGTCTATTAGAAATGGACAGCACAGACGCAGAGAGACAGGCAAAGAAAAAGTCAAGACAGGGAGAGATGGAGTAAGAGAACTGATTGTGTGATGTTCTCATTTGAAAATGGTAAAATTTTATCATTTTAAAAGTTCCACTGGTCCATGAAGGAGGAGAATGGAGACCTGCAGGTTCACTATTGTCCTAGTGTTTTGCATAAGTCGTCCTGTTTTCTGTTTGCAGCTTTTGTTCTGCTCCCTGGGTTGAGGCCTATGAATTGCTTAAAAACAGATGGGAGACTTTTCAAAACTGCCCTTTTCTTTTTTAAAGTACATATTACATTACCAAATATGTTTGGTAGTTCACAGTTTGGAAATACATTGAAATGGCAATATCTCACTGTGTCTTCCATCCATTATTCTATGGATAGACAGATGGAAGTTACAGTGAGACACAGACAATTGGAGTATCTGGGGCGATGAGGCGGGTGAGGGGTTGATCTTGTCATCCCCCACAAGATTCCACCCTGGGTGGTCGCCCATAGCAGAATCTGGCACTGGTTCATTAATCACAATTAATCACTATGCCTAACTTTGTAAGCTTGAAATATAAATATGCACACAGCTGCAAGCCCCTCTTGCTGCACACCAACAATTTAAAATCCAAGCAATTATCTTGCCTTTGCAGTCTCCCATACTCAGTAGCAACTAAGTGAAATTTATTCCATTACACATGGATACAAGTGGTATGAAACTTGTTCAGGAGGTAACTGATAGATAAGATCTATTTTATTAGATCTATTTTAATTTCTAGTTCTTGGATGCCCCACATTTTTATGATACCTCGAAGAGCAACATGAAACCCATATCAAACATGCAGATTCTCAAAAAAAATTTTCTTGTCTCAAACCAACCATGTCTGAAGATTGTTAGTTTTCCAGGTTTTTATATTCAGGAAGGTTTACAGCAAGTCAGTTTGTTTTAAATGTTGGTTTAGAACTGCTCCTTTACACTCATTTCCTGTGATGAGGCGGCACTCTATTGTCTTATTCCAGTCAGATTTGTAGAGTACAGTTATCCTCTCAACATTTTCCTCCACCTGAGCTCTGCAGCTTCTCCAGAGTCACCCTGGACTTTTTCCCTGCTCCTCTGAGTTCTGCTTTCCCTGTCTGACCTGTTACTTTAGCAGGATGTCCATCTCCTGGTAGGACTGCAGTTGAGCTGGAGCTCGACTGACAGATGAAAGTCAGCTGAACCTTCTGAACAGGGAAATAATTTCTGTGTCCAAGTTTTGCAAAGATGAAAACTGAATCCATACTGACAGGATTTGCATTTAAAAAGAACTTTTAAAACCACATTAGTATGGTTCCACTTCAGTTCCACATTAAATGTTTGTTGTAGTAATGTGATGAATGTCAGGAGGTTTAAGGTGTATGACTGACAGGGAGGTGTAAATATGTTTATTTGTTTTTTTTATTATTTATTTAGAACGTGATAGCAGCATAAAATTATGCAAAACAAGGAATGGAAAATCATCAGATTTTTTCACCACAGTAATCTTAACATGCTCGAAAAGGAGTAGGAAGTAGTAAGAAACTTATGAACTCCTACCCCATAAGCGCATACAATATTTTCAATATTTTTTGATAAATCAAATCAAAAATAGAAATAAACAGGTTAATTAATTTAGCATTTTATCTGGGTTTACATATGTCCAAGTATGTTTCAGTATTTATTGCAATTGAGTCAAATCATTTGTGTCAAAAAGTAGAGGATACTTAAGTTGTTAATGCCAACACATTTAATAAAGATGACTACAAGTGATGAACATCAAATGAGTTTAAAAGCACAAAATATTAAAAGCATTCTTTTTTCCTCGGTTGAAAATCAAAGGTTCAGAAAAATAACAAGTGCTTTTTTTGCGCTGCTCTTTTATTAATTTTGTGACAATTCACATTATTTTTAAATCCATATTAATGCATAACAAACAGCTTTCAAAAGTTTTAAAAGTTTACATTAATAATAGAAGCCCACTCTTGGTGCTCAGAAGGTTCAGCTGACTTTCTCTGAGTCCATTCCTATCTTAAACTCAAATGGAGCTGTCGAAGATGCCAGCTCAAAGCCAGTTAGTAAGCTTATTGCTCTGAAATACTCCACAGAATTGTACAGCAGACCCAGAGTGAAATGTCCAGTGATGACAGATGTTCAGTCTGAATAAAACTCATGATAAGATGAAGTGTTCCAGGCTGACCTGTGCTGTTAGCTGAAGAGGCTGACTCAGATGGTGGAAGGTGGAGCAGACTCAGTGATCCATTTGACCCTCCACCCACTGAGCCCCACATTTCATTTCAACAACAAAGCTGTGTGCAGATCTCATTTAGGCATCAGACAGTGATATGTCAATGTGGAATCATGATGTAGTCTCTAGATTTACTCTGTTGATCACTGGCTGGAGGCATAACACTGCCACCATCGTGGTACAGGGAGTTTCTCCCACTGAGAATTGGCAGTTTCCAATCTGCCTGTCTACGATTTAAATCACTTACAGTCAAACATGTGTTTCATATAGAAATTATATAAACAGGGGCAGACCTACTGGGGCTGACCTGAGAGTTCCGACTCTTAAGACAAGAAAGCCTTGCCACTCTAGCTGGAAACTTATAAATTCAAGACATAATAATTATGGCAAAGTGCATAGAATACATAAAAGCCTCATTGCCGTGATATAGCACCTTTCAGCTTGCAGACGGTGGATCTGGCAGTAAACTAAAACAAGTAAATGAACCGAACTTCATAAAAACCGTTAGTAAAAATATTTTAAGTTAATGCTTGTCCCTGACATATTCTCTCACACACACTATATAAAAAAGCGCAAATGA